TCATCTTGATGAAAGGGCTTGGATTTTTGAACAACAAAAAATGACTCAAGGAAGATCGTTTGAGCTCAGTAGATGTGGATCGAAATAGGGAAGCAGAAAATAATTAACACTGAACTTCTAACTATCCTTTCCGGAAATTACTAACTTTCGCTGCAGCAAGTAGCAGAACCTTCGTCCGTCAGTGGATTCACTTTACCTGTTGCCATGGTTTACAACCGCATCCAACATCCATGCTCGCTTCCCTCGTATTGCACCAAACAAGTAGGCAGCTCAAGGTTTTGTGAAACGACTCGTAATGCAAACAGTGAGCTTGCAACATTCAAAGCTCAATTTTCTTTGCCTGATCTCGAATACGGCGGAGTCAAGCTCATTATTTTGAAAATACTTCAGGCTTTGTGTGCTTTTTCGACTTGTGTGGATTCTCATATTATGATTAAATCACTTTCAAATAGACCCTGACAGCTAGTAAAAAATTTCTTTGTCAAGGTCTATGATGTTCTCGAACGCTAAGGTCGCAGAGCACTCCTCCCAGACGTTGCGTTCTCAGCCATTTTGGGTCAACTTAGTGTTTGGATCAGTTACAATCCATTGAATTGCCAGATATCTGTTAAACCAGAGGACATGCATGGGTCTCAGATATTCAGCAACCATTTAAAAGATTACAGACAAAAATATAGCAGACATAAGCAAAAATATGGATGATTTCCAGTTTGAATAATGAAAAACATGATTAGAGAAATACAAGAAAATACTTAGAGTATAAGAAAACTATTTAAGTAGCACCAAAATAAAAAAATTAAGGAGAGAAAAGCTTTTTGTAAGAAAAAAAGAGTATCAAATAATAGGTTAGTTTCCCATTGTAAACGAAAGAAAGTGTCTTTCTAAGACTCACACTTTCTTGCAGACAATGCTAAGGTAGAGCAGAGCTGCATTATTGTCGGCAACACGGTGACGGGTATCTGCGGTATACTGAAGGGAGGAGGCAAGATGTGTATGAATGCAGAAAAGGACGAGGTGACAATATCACCTGCCAACAGCACCTACTTGACAATTGTAGGAACTCTTTCGGTTTGAACAGGTTACCTTTTTGATCAAATTTGTCTCTTCAAAAAAATTTTGACACAGACTGCAAACATCATCATGTCGAATTGGTCAAGGGCGCTGTGGCAAAATGTAGATGAACAGAGCAGTTCGATTGCTGGTATTGGGTCCATTCGGGTAGCACTTCTTCTCGGCATCTGTCACGTCATCGGAAATTGAAATTAAACTGTAATGATGTTTGAAGCAAACATTTCAATATAGGTGACGTTTATTTTGCCACCAATGGTAAATGAAGTGACTAATGCATAAATGTTGAATACTCAAAGTAATGCAGTGAATTAATTGATTTGCACAACGTGATACATTTGGATTCACTGCTCTTCTTGTAAAAGTGAAACGAGAAATCTGCAAGCGAATAGTCGCGAAGAAACTATCCGCGCATGCAATTTGAGAAAATGCTCACACTGTTAGCGTATCTACTTTTCATGAGGAAACTACCTGAAAGAAGAGTATAAGAATGAAACACACAAAAGACTTGAAAATTCGAGTATTCATATTTCGCTACTATTCAGTTATCAGAAACAACATATAATATTTTAAAAATGTTCTCCATATTCAGCGAGGAAATTAATTAGTAAAAGAATATTGAGTGTTTGAATCCTGCAAACTAAGTTTTTTCCAGAGTAACAGCTCAGTTTATGGAAACATTTGAAAAAAAGGGAAGAAACGATAGCTCTCTTAGGTACTTCAGACCTACCTTCCCTACGTATGCGAACACCAATCACGAAATTTCTATTTCTTCCATTGAAGACACATTACATTCCTCACCTGAGTCCTGTAATGAAGAGTTAGTGTTAGAGCTCGAAATGATAAGTACGACGTCACCTAGTCAGAACTAGCCAGAACACCGTCTGCTGAACTCTGTCTGTAATAGAGATTACACGCTCTTCGTAATTTCTGAAAGAAGAGTCTGGAGGAGTTATGGCATCATTTTAACACTGGTTTGACCATGTAGGTCGATTTATTCAGATAACTAACCACCCGGAGGAAACGCGTGCAGTCGAGGAAATAAAAATCGCAAAAATTCAAAAGCTCGAATCCTATGAACCTCTGCATAATCATTTGATATGTGAGAATCGAGAAAACTTATCTCTGATTAGCTGTTGCGAGGTTGGTAAACTAGTAGTAGCAATTTGGCTGACGTTTCGGCGACCCGCCCTCTTCAGAGCCTGGGCGTATATAGTACTAGTCTATTTGATGATTCGGAAGATCTCATTTATGTGTTGCCTAGGTCAGGATAAAAGATCAAACGTCTACCCGTTTCGCTTATATATTCTTAACGCAACATAGAAAGAGCGATGTGCAAAATGGGCGTCAGTAGTGTAACGGATAGAGCACCTATTCCCGGAAAGAGTGAGGTTCGAGTTATAATCCCCCTGATACGAAAGTTTTGCACAATCATTCCACATCAATGTGTATCTATTTGAAATATCATAACACCGCTAGAAGCGGATAAATAAAAAGTTTATTTGGTCTATATATTCTTCCACGCATGTCTTACATGTTAGCAAATAAATTGTGCCGATCTCATACAATCCCCTCTTTTCTCGTTAGGGCGGGTCATACAGTTCTTGGCGTTGCACAATCGATCGTAAAGTCTATTGCTGATCAGCTGATAGCGTAGAGTGAGAGGTGGGATTTCAATAACTACCACGCAATTTGCAAGACCGCATCTTATTAGGCACCTTTTAACCGCGCTACTAATTCGTTTGATATAAATAGCAGTTTGAAGGAAACTCGTCAGGTGCGGAGTATTGTTCTTTCGGGACCTAATTCCACTTTTTGAATACTCTCCAATAGCAAATGTTTTGTAGCCGTTGGAAATGCAAGTTTTCGTGCCAAGTTCAACGATTCGTTCCTTTCCTCTTCTTCTGTGCACACATCTTTAGCCATTCGAAATATGTTTTTAATTAGCGATTTTTTCATGTGTGAAGGATGAGAGGAGGGGTGATCGACCAAATATTTTTTGTTACTTGGTTTTCGATACCATTTTGTACTATAGCCACTATCCAAAAGCTTTACTTGGGTGTTTAAGAATGGAAGCCAGCTCCCGTTTGGACTCTCTCGCGTAAATTTTATATGCTCTGACTGTCCGTTCAAGACTTTAAAACACTTGTCCATTTCCTCTTTTTCACCGTAGAGAAATGGGCGGTGAACGAGAACTGGAGCTTCCACCTTATACATAAGATAAGATAGCGTTGCCGCCCATTGCTCTAAAGTGAGAAAAGAGTAAATGGACAAGTGTTTCGAAGTCTTGAACGGACAGTCAGAGCATATAAAATTTACGCGAGAAGTCCAAACAGGAGCTGGCTTCCATTCTTAAACATCCAAGTAAAGCTTTTGGATAGTGGCTATAGTGCAAAATGGTATTGAAAACCAAGTAACAAAAACATTTTGGTCAATCACCTTTCCTCTCTCCTTCACACATGAAAAAATCGCTAATTAAAAATATTTCGAACGGCTAAAAGTGTGTGCACAGGAGAAGAGGAAAGGAACGAATCGTTAACTTGCCATGAAAAATTGCATTTCCAACGGCTACAAAACATTTGCTACTTGGGAGTATTCAAAAAGTGGAATTAGGTTCCGAAAGAACAATACTCGCACCTGAATAGAGTTCCCTTCAAACTGCCATTTATATCAAACGAAATCAGCAGCGCGGTTAAAAGGTGCCTAAAAAGATGCGGTCTTAGAATTTCCGTGGTAGTTATTGAAATCCCACCTCCCACTCTACGCCATCAGCTGATCCGCAATAGACTTTATGATCGATTGTGCAACACCAAAAACTGTATGATCTGCCCTAACGGAAAAGAGGGGATGTATGAGATCGGGCACAATTTATTTACTAACTATGTAAAACTTGCGGGGAAGAATATATAGGCGAAACGAGTAGACCACTTTTCATCCGCATAAAGAACATCTAGATAGTAAATATAAATAGATAAAACCAAACCTTTAGGTTTACATAGGGCACAAAAACACAGCAACAAGGATTTTGATGTGGCTGTCACAATCCTAGAGCAGGAATCAAAAACATCCACGCGCAAAACTCTTAAGGCATTTTGGATACACACCCAAAATCCCGAAATGAACGGAAGAACTAGTGCGGTCACCATCACACGAAATCTCGTGCCCTTCTTTCGTTTGATCTTCTAACCTAATATAGGCAGCATATAAATAAGACCATTCAATCATTCAATAGACTAATACTACATCGCCCAGGCTCTGAAGAAGGCGGGTCGCCGAAACGTCAGCAGAATTTCTACGACTAATTTACCAACCTCGCGTCAGCTAATCAAGATATGTTTTCTCGATTTCGCTGTTAGTTGATTTGTTGCGAAAGGAGCATGACTTGCGCCTAATGTCGCACAATCCCACTCTTTGGAGTGAGTAACCTAATCTTCCTGTGACTGTACACAGCTCTCTGAGGAGTCGTCTCCAAAAAAAAATTACTCCTGTGAAATTGATGAGCTTCATACTATCTAATGGCTATTATGTGTTTATAGAAAAACTTTATCCTGCGGGAAATTCTTCATGTGGCACAAATTTCATTCACTGTTGCAGCGCAAAAAAACAAGCCATTAGAGGAGCATAATACAAAGCTCAAATTCATGATTGTTTAGCAATCGAAATAAATGCTAGTAATCTAGTGAACTAGACCTTTTTTAGAAAAACACACAATCTCATGAGAGCAATCCTCAAAATGCGATCGCATGTGACAGAAATTGTTTACAAAAGTAAGGATTTTCAAGACAGTTGGGGGTTATTCTTCTTAAAAAAACGTTCACAAATGTTCTGTCAATGATAATTGAGCAATACTGGAGATGTTCAGTATTCTTATTGCATTTTTCGCAGCGTTGTGATGTTTCATAAATACTTAAGAGAATTGAGTGGGGGCAAAGATACGATCTCAAACGGGAGTCGAACCCGCGTTTCATCCATACCGAGGACGCGTGCTACCAGTACACCACAGAGGAACATTCGCTCCACCACTCATTCTTCAACATCTCTGTGCTAGCTATCATCCACAGTCATTAACAGGTTTGGTCAGATATGCGATTTCGCTTTATAAACCCATTTGAGGTGACAGCCATTGTAATAATAATGCTCAAAATTTCTAATATTTTAATGTATTTTTCGCGTCCCGGGTTTGACTCCAGTCTGAGGTCGTATTTCTGCTCACCACTCATGTCTCATAGATATTTATAAACATCATAACACTGGCGGAAAAAGCAGCAAAAATGCTAGGAATTTCTGGTATTAGTTATTACAATGACTATCAGCCCAACTGGGTTTATAAAGCAAAATTGCACCCCCGATCAAACCTGTTAAAGATTGGCGGTAGAGAGAGTGAGTGGTGGCGTGAATGTACCTCAGTTAGTGCAGTTGTGGTCTCGCGTCCAAGGTATGAATGAAACGCGGGTTCGATTACTGTTTGAGGTCGTATTTTTGCTTATCATTCAATTCCCTTGGATAATTTAAGTCTTTTTTTCTTGCAAAAAGGCTAGTAAGAATCGACACGTAACTATACAATACCAAAAAAACCGCTGTGAATTAGAAAAATCGAACTGCGAATGTAAAGCATCATCTATTGATTATTATTAGAGCGTAACTATGGAATTATTTTCAAACAACAAGCTTAGTATTAGAATCAGAATTTTGAAAGCTATCAACTGGCTGCAAGAACATCGAGAACGTAGGAAAAAATGTTCGATACACACTGTGTGGGGACTGAAGCACACACCCAGGATCGGCAAAAGATGAGAAAGGGTAACTACCCGACTGCCGAGACAGCAAGGTTGGAACACGTGTATCGGGCTCTATAAGTCAGCCCAATTTTAACAGACCACATTACATGCGTGACTAACAAATTATTATTTGGCATATTGAAATTTGAGCTATGGTCTTAAGAAAGCATTCAAAACGAAAGATATGATATGTTCAATAACAATAGATACTTTCATTATTATTTACGCCAACTTGTCATGGGTTCTGGTAAGGGCTCTTGGTACAGCCCGATACACGTGTTTCGTCCTTACAGACTCCTTAGAGAAGAACTGACTATGAAAAGATCTAAAGACGACGGGTTCTGCTCGACTGACGGAGTCTGTAAGGACGAAACATGTGTATCGGGTTGCACACATGCCCTACCAGACCATATGACCAGTTGGCCCATATAATAATGAAAGGATCTATTGAAATTTGAGCGTGGTCTTAATAAAGCACTTCAAAATAAAGGTGTTCAATAATAGTTGAAAGCATACTACTCTTTCGCAAGGATGTGGTTTTCCTCTGAAAAAGACAAAAATTTTGGAAAGCCTTAGCGTTAATATTGCTAAAATCATCCATATGGAAGTCTCATCAGTGATATTTCATCATTCCTTGGTGATAATTTTTTTTGAAAACTTAGCATTTGTATTGGAGTACGCAGAACTCTACGTAACCGTCCAAGCGGCGCGCCAGCTGAGAGTTACAATGACCTTCATCGCCCACGAAGGGATGTATATCAGCAGCCAACGTCAACGGTTTGGCTTAGTAGTCTACAAACGGTTGAATAGAAGGAATTCTTGTCGCTCGCATGTACATCCCAATATCTTTCAGCTTGACTGGGTTCAATGTCGACAGCGGCTACCTGGGCCAAACTGTTGACGGTTGGTTGCTGACAGATACATGCGTTATAGTGTAGAAAGAGTGGAGTCAAAACAGACTTCGGTAGTGCAGGGGATAGAAACACCTTGCCCCCCCCTCCCCCTCCAGATTGGAGAAATACAAGTTCAAGTCTCGCCCGCCGAAAATGTTCTGCACATCGCTTTACATAATTGGGTTATACTATGTTGCTCTTTATCGGATC